TGATGAGACATCACTATGCAACCTCTGTTTTTCAATTAAGAGCAAAAAACCAATTATTAATCTATGCCATAAACTTAAGTACAAGTGTAGTTGAAAGCGTTGATGCCACAAAAGACCAGGCCACAGACTGACTGGGGGCCGCTCTCAACTTGTAAGCTCCTTGCCTCGCTCTTCTGGCAGCTACAAGTCCTAAACAACGTCAGATCTACATTGTCCACTCGTTAGTACTGACGAGGCAGCCAAATACACTGCCACAGTGTGTGAGACTCCAAAAGCAACAGGGATGTACCCGCACCTTAGAGCAGTTAACATAAACTATTAAGAATGTGTTGGGCCGACCGGTGGCTCACACCTGCAATCCCAGCACTTCGGAGGCTGAGCGGGCGGATCACCGAGGTCAGGGAGATCAAGACCATCCTAGCTAACATGGGAAACCCGTCTCTACTAAAAATAAAAAAAAAAATTAGCTGGTGTGGTGGCAGGCGTCTGTAGTCCCAGCCCTCGGGAGGCTGAGGCAGAGAATGGCGTGAACTTGGGGAGACGGAGTTTGCAATGAGTCAAGATCACGCCAGTTCTCTCCAGCCTGGGCGACAGAGCAAGACGCCATCTCAAAAAATAATAAATAAATAAAATAAAATAAAAAAAGAACACTTGGCTGGGCGTGGTGGCTCCACCTGTAATCCCAGCACTTTGGAAGGCCGAGGGGGGCAGTCATGAGGTTAGGAGTTCAAGGCCGCCTGGTAAACACGGTGAAACCCTATCTCTACTAAAAATACTAAAAAAAAAAAAAAAAAAATTAGCTGGGCATGGTGGTGGGTGCCTGTAGTCCCAGCTACGCGGGAGCTGGAGGCAGGAAATCGTTTGACCTGGGAGGTGGATGTTGCAGTGAGTGAGGACGCACCATTGCACGCCGGCTGGAAGACAGAGTAAGACTCTATCTCAAAAAAAAAAAAAAAAAATGAACTCCTTAAAAGGAAGAAAATTTTGACTACAACATGGATGGACCTTGAGAATATTATGCTAAGATAAGCCAGACACAAAAGGACAGACACTGAATGATTCTGCTTACAGAAGATACCTAGAGTCATCAAATTCGTAGAAACAAAGTAGAAGTGTGCCCATCAGGCGCTGCAAGGAGAATGGAAGGGGGAATTGCTGTTCAGTTGGCACAAAGTTCGTCTTGCAAAATGAAAAGAATTCTGGCGATGGATGGTGGCGGTGTTGGCACCACAGTGTGAGTGTGCTGAATGCTGCTAAACTGCCAGTGCCACGCCTGCAGTCCCAGCAACTCAGGAGGCTGAGGTGGAAGGATCGCTTAAGTGCAGGAGGTCAAGGCTGCAGTGAGCTACGAGTGTGCCACCGCACTTGAGCCAGTAAGACTCTGTCTCTAAAAAAACAAACTGCTACACTATACACTTAAAAATGGTTAAGACAGTAAATGGGTGTTTTGTTTTTTGTTTTTTGTTTTTTTCTGAGAAGGAGACTCACCCAGGCCGGAGTGCAGTGTCGGCTCATCGCAACCTCCGCCTCCCAGGTTCAAGGGGTTCTCCTGCCTTAGCCTCCCAAGTAGCTGGGATTACAGGCGCCCGCCACCACATCCGGCTAATTTTTGTATTTTTAGTAGAGACAGGGTTTCGCCATGTTGGCCAGGCTGGTCTCTAACTGCTGACCTCAGGTGATCCACCCGCCTTGGCCTCCCAAAGGGCTGGGATTACAGGCGTGAGCCACCATGCCCGGCCAATAAGTTTTGTGTTATATGCACGTTACCATAGTTTCTAAAAGAGAAAATAAATTAGAACAAATAATCCCATGAAGTTAAGAGGTAAGCAGCGCAGCATGGACCAGGAGGTCCTGGGAGTTGTGGAAGTCAGAGAAGGCTCCCGGAAAAGGGAGGGCTCATGCAGTTGTCCACACCCCCCATAACAAGCCAGGAACTATCTACCAACATGTGAAGGCTGTCCTTGAACCTAATGATGTCTACGGGAATGGAGGGCCAGGCCTCAACTAGCTGCATCACCAAGGCTTGTCCATCACCAAGACACAGCATAGTATGGCCAGCATGATCACGTGACCCATACTCAGCGAGCAGGCTGAGAGTGAAGGGCACTGTTGATAATTACAGTGGACAACAGCATATGGTCTCCTGGGATCTAGCAGGAACAGCCCAGGCTCAGGACTCAGGCAGACCTGGTTTCGAATCCTAGCTTAGGCACATACTTGGGCAAATTGCTTTCTGCCCCCGAGCCCCAGTTTCCCCTCCTGTAACATTTCTATCTCATGAGGTTATTGTGAGTAACAAAAATAAGATGAGAAAAACTTCCAGTCCAGGGCCTGACAAGTCCTAAATATTACAAGCCTGTAATCTCTTATCTGCAATTCTGGGAAACTAGGGCTCAGAGAGAGGAAAACTGAGGTTTTATTGTGCACCCTCTTACCTATTGTGAATTTTTTTACTCCACTTATACATTTTTTAAGATTAAACCAAAAAGTGTCCCTCACCCGACAAGGAAGCACAGCCACAGGAGTCTAAAAGCTGGGTCCTGGGAAAGCTGAGTCCTGTCCCACTGCTAATGCAGTTCACACAGGCAGCTCCAGGGGCTTCTCCCAGTTTCAGGCTCCTCGTGTGTACCACAGAGGTGCCTTCAGAGATTCCAATTACAGATTAGTTGGGAAAACAGTGTCCAGTCTGGGTCTTCAACGGAGGGGATGGAACGTGGGGAGCTGGTTACAAAGACGTTGGAGTTGTTGAAAAGTCAAATCGGGGTAGTGAGGCAACCCAGGAAGAAACAACGGGAAGAAGGTTAGAAGTTTCTACCCACTCTGGGCTTGGAAAGGGGACGTTACCCGAACTCAAATCCTGCACTGTCTGGTAGGAATTGGAAGGATGGAGGGAAGGGCCACCTAGCCACAGAGGACCAGTGTCAGGGACCTTGACCAGGCCGCAGAGAGACAGAGAAATGCCCTGGATCTCCCGTCCCCTAGCCCTTCAGTTTATCCTCACTGACCCCCTGGGCTGAGGCCAGCCAGAAGTCAGGAGCAAGGGGACCTGGGAAATGTAGTTCTCAGAAGACAGAGAACTGCAGTCCAAAGCAGAGCAGGGCAGTCCAGGAAGACCACCTCCACAGTGCAGCCACGGCAGCTGGGGTCATCCCCCACTCAGAAGGGATTTTTCCACTTTTGTTTGGCAGGCATTTCTGCTTCCCCGGCATTTCTGTTTTAGATGCCCCATATGCAAACTAATGAAATTCAAAGTTTCACAGAAGAGAAACTTTTGAATTAACCTGGAAACCTAACACTTGGGGCCTGTCCATCATTTCCGAATCCCCCAAGCAGATTTGCGTCCTCTGACTCCCCTCGCCAGACTGAGCATCTCACGGCCAGCACCTGCTCTGCAAGGCAGGCTGTGTTAGGCAGGTGTGCGATGCTGGGAACACAGAGAGAGCTGGATTCCACCTGGCTGCTGAGGGAGGAGGCGGCGGCACAACAGGTTCCCACACCACCTGGAGAGCAGGCGCGTTACTTCCTCCAACAGGGCTGGGCTTCCAAGTACAGAGACCAGAGGTCACTGTGGTCCAACGGACTGAGCCGTAGATTAGGAACTCAATTGTTCTTTGTTTAAATCCAGCTGAGGCACCTAACCTTGCGTGACCTTGAGCCAAACACAACTCTTAGGATGCAACCTGCTTCACAAGATGAGAAAGATACGAGTAAAAACGTCAGCAGACTCTGGAAGGTAAATGAACAATCCTGATAATGCCCAGCACTCACACTGTGCCCTTCCCCCTAGGCGGGCTTTTAAGCACGATCTTGCTTGTCCTTGAAATCATCCTTGTGAAGGCAGGGAGAGGAAGGACCATTATCTCCATCTTACAGAGAGAGAAACCAGGCACTGAAAATAGGCAGCAACCCGCACAGTGGGTCATGCTGGCGTTAGACTCAAGGCCACACGAGTGTTGGCCCTGACCTGTCTCTTCTGCCCCATGGAGGACCAGTTATTTCCTTAGCCGGGGGCCCCAGTGACTCAACGAAGGTCTGGAGGGAGACACTGTTTTTAGGTCTAAAAAGGGGAGAGGAAACAAGAGAGAAGAAGAGGGAGCAAAGGAAAAAGGGAAGGGAGGAAAGCAGAGATAAAAAAAAACCCTGGAAGGGGCAGGGTTTAGACACTAACAGGTTGCCCGGACTCTTAATGACAGCACGTGTGAGAACCTGGCGTGGCAAGCTCGGTTTTACCAGCCTTAAAGGCTTCCGTGCCCTTCCATCATCACCCAGCATTACTGGAAATTCACTAGAGTTATACATTCAGAAGAATACACAGCCACTCCCCTTCATTTCTGAGCAGGGGTAGCTCCCATATCCGCCAACCTTTTTCCTCCCCTCAGGGCCCAGTTTACGACACTTGAAGTTTTGTTCCCTGTTGTCAGGTGCTATTGTGTAAGGTGGGAGAACAGATACTCCTGTGGGTGTGCTAGAGCTGAAACACGTTTATCTGAATCTGAGCGGCGGGTGCTTTCACACACAGGAAGAGGGGTATCTGGTACCTTCCTGTAGGGCTGCGAGGGTCCTCGCCTTTCCGCCCGCAGCAGATCTGGGCCCATGTCGAAGACAAGCCCTCACTACACTTGGGCAGTTGTAATTTACCAGGCACGTCAAGGGTTGGGAAAGCTGTGACTAACGAGTCTAGCTTGTGCAAGACTCATCCTCTTACCTCTCTCTCACCATCACATTCCCAGCCCCAGTAAAGAGTAGGATTCTGGCTGAGTCTTTGGCTAAGATGACAAATAGCAGCCCCTCTTGTTGAGACATCCCAACTCAGACCACTGGATCCGGAAGACGCACACAAACTCCACTTTTGCTAGTTTGCAGCCCCAAGGGTGTTCCAGAAAGTAGACCTTTATAACAGAATAGCTTCCTGGACTCCAGGCAGAGCGGTACCGCTGCATCCCGGCCATAATTCTGATTGCCCCCTGTACACCCGGAAACTCACTCCTCAGGATGCCCACCTTGCTGTCTGCCATCGTGGAAATGCACTGACGTCACTCACCTACATGGTTACAGATAAACCACAGGCCACAGTTGCAGCGCTCTTCTCAGGGTGCGTGTGGAGGGGAAATGACATTTATTCTTTGATTAATGTTGTCTCTCTCTGTCCCCAGAGTTAGTAAACAAACAAGCTGTCCTTGGAGCAAGCATCTCCCCGTCTCTGAGCGGCAGCCCTGCAAGTGAGGCCAATAGCCGTCTCTCAGCTGTGCACAGGACAGGCATTCTTGGATCTCAGAGTCCTGCAGTAGCATTTTGAGGACGCCAAGTTATTGATGGGGACAGGTGCTCATAATTCAGCATAACCCACCCAAGCCGTGTTTCACTTTCTCTGGAAACCTCCGGATTTAGGAATGAAAGCCCCCAGCTCCCCCTGGGCTGGGCTGGCCAGTAAACATCTCAGTCTGAGTTTGCCGAGGTGGGTTGCTAAATTTAATTGCCAGTTTCCACACCATGTGATGGTGTGTGACAGGCCAGCTCACCCTGTGAGTTAGCCAAGGGGTTTTAAATAAATGCTTTCTGACGGAAAGGATGATAAAGATTCCTATTATTCACCAGTGAGCCTGGAGACTGAGCTGGTCTGTTTTTTACGACTGAGCTACAGCAATGTCAATCTCATGCGCTCTGTCACTACTTCCTACTGTGGCTTGACTGGGACAGCCTTAAGGGGACTGCAGAAAGAGCTCCAGCCGGGTAGTCAGGAGACCTTTGCCAGCCCGATCTGTCCAAGGTCTCTGTGACCTTGGAAGGCAAATAGCTCTGTGGGCCAGCGTCAGCCTCTGCGTCTGCAAAGAGGAGTGCTTAACAGGACATGCTTGGAGCTTTCAGGAGGCATGTTTTCGATATGCAAAGGCATTGCTGTTGGTGAAACATCCGCGGAACACCAGGCAACAAACCACTAAAAGCAGCATTTTTCTTGCTCCGATCCTTTAAAATATCGATGGAGATAAACTGATGCTGCTATTTGTGTTTTCCTTGACTATTTCCTTACGAAGCCCTGCAGTCATTGAATGCTCACTCAACCTTCCTTCAAAAGTGATTCAACGTGTGGCCTGAGAAACAGCAGCATCAGCCTCACCTGGGCGTTGGTGAGAACTGCAGCATCTTGGCCTCTCCTGCTGAATCAGAGTGTGCTGCTTAACACGCTCCCAGGTGACTCGTACGTAGTCAGTGCTGGGAAGCACTGGTCTGTAGTCATGTTTCTCAAGCTTGAATGCCCATCCGAATCTCCCGGAAGGCTTGCTAAAACCTTGCTGGGCCCCACCCCCACATTTCTGATTCAGCAGGTGTGGGTCGGGGTCTGCGAACTTGCATTTCTAGAAAGTTTTCTGGTGATGGTGATGCCTCTGGTCCAGGACCACACTTTGAGAATGTCTCGTCTTTCCTGAGTGGCTGTTTAGTGATACCTTCATTCCCAGGTCATTAAGGGTGCATAACATCTCTTCATTACATACTCTGGCTTCCTCAATCCCTGGAATTACTGTGGTATCCTCTTGATATGTCTTCATTTCTTCCTCTTTAATCAACCTTGATCTCCCCCTTGATTTCAGTTTGTGTTTCCTTATCTCTCTTTCATTAGGAAGTTCTAGACACAGAAAACCAGACAGCTCGGTGCTGTGCAGAAATGGGAGGATTTCATGAAAATCCTACTTTTCTCTCCCGTGTAGTTGTTATAAAATTCCACTTGTTTTTTGTTTGTTTGTTTGTTTGAGATGGAGTCTCTCTTTGTCGCCCAGGCTGGAGTGCAGTGGCACAATCTCCACTCACTGCAACCTCCACATCCCGGGTTCAAGTGACTCTCCTACCTCAGCCTCCTGAGTAGCTGGAATTACAAGTGCCCGCCACCACGCCCAGCTAATTTTTGTATTTTTAGTAGAGATAGAGTTTTGCCATGTTGGCCAGGCTGATCTCAAACTCCTGACCTCAGGTTATCCACCCACCTTGGCCTCCGAAAATGCTGGGATTATAGGCGTGAGCACTGCTCCCGGCCCAAATTCCACTTGTTTCTTTTTTTCAGCCAGAGTTATACACTGCTGGCCCATAAGGAACTTGTTACGATGTGACTACTACAGAATAACCAAATCAATTTGCTGCAGTATAATTTTTATTATTTTTAAACCACACAAGCAATATAGTGACACATCTGATTAAAGCAATCAACACTGGGCCGGGCACAGTGACTCATGCCTATAATCCCAGCACTTTGAGACACCAAGACGGGTGGTTCATATGAGCCCAGGAGTTTGAGACTAGCCTGGGCAACATGGAAAACCCCATCTCCACAATAAAATACAAAAATTAGCCTGGTGTGGTGGCATGCACCTGTGGTCTCAGCTACTCGGGAGGCTGAGGCTGGAGGATTTCTTAAACCCCTGAGATGGAGGTTGCAGTGAACTGAATTTGCACCACTGTGCTCCAGCCTGGGTGACAGAGCAAGACCCTGTCTCCAAAAAAAACACTAAACACTGAAGAATAATGAACTAAACCTTTATGCCCCATACCCTCCCCATCTCCTAGTCCATGCTCCTCCTCAGAGTTAATAAACATTGGCAGCTAGATGTGTGTCTTCCATGCCTTTCTATATGCATATATATACCTACACATTTACATACAGAAATAGGTTTTAGATTTTTAAAAAATTACAAGTACTGTTAATAAAACTTCCTTTTATTAATAAACAATATTTTTCAGAAATGATTTCAAATCAATAAATAGACTACATTCTTTTTCAGGCTGCATGGCAACCAGGTACAGTGGTTCAATGCCTTGGGAAGCTGAGGCAGGAGGATTGAGGCCAGGAGTTTGAGACCAGCCTGGTCAACATAGAGAGACTCTATCTTTACAAAAAATTTTAAAATTGCCAGGCATGGTTGTGCATGCCTACAGTCCCAGCTACTCAGAAGGCTAAGATGGGAGGATTTCTTGAGCCTAGAGGTTTGAGGGTACAGTGAGCCATGACCACACCACTGCACTCCAGTCTGGGCAACAGAGTGGGACCCTGTGTCTAAAAATAATAATAATCATCATCATCATAAATACATACATTTTTAAAAAGCCTGTCAGAGGAAATGTAAAGAAAAAAGAAAAAAGGTTGTATGGCCATATTTTATATTATGGACATACTACAGTTTATTTAGCCATTTCCCTATTGATAGCCACTTACATTATTGCCAATAGTTCACCACTGCCAACAATATTAAATTAGCACTCACGTGAGATTCAACTAAGAAGTTGGCCTCCAAAAAAACTGTATTGATTTATATTACTACCCCCCACAATGAACATGCTTATTTTACATGGAATCAACATAAATGCACATCAATGACAGATTGTATAAAGAAAATGTGGTATATATACACCATGGAATACTACGCAGCCATGAAAAGTATGAGATCATGTATTTTGCGGGAACATGGATGGAGTTAGAGGCTATCATCCTCAGCAAACTAATGCAGGATCAGAAAACCAAATACTGCATGTTCTCACTTATAAATGGGAGCCAAATGATAAGAACTTATGAACACACAGAAGAAACAACAGACACTGGGGTCTACTTGATGGGGGAGAGTAAGAGGAAGGAAAGGAGCAGAAAAGATAACTATAGGATACTGGGCTTAATACCTGAGTGATGAAATAATCTATACAACAAACATTACTGACATTTGTTTACCTATGTAACAAACCCTCACATGTACCCCAGAACCTAAAATAAAAGTTTAAAAAATTAAATTAAACAAACAAACAAAAAAAGAAAGTGCTTATTTTAACCTTCTCACCAACACTGGCTATTACCAGTCTTTCACATCTTTATCAATATATTGAGGCTATCTCATTCTCTAAACTTGGTTTTATCTGAAGACTGCTTGAGGTTAAACATTTCTCCATAAGATTATCAGCCATTTTATTTCACTTTCTAGAATTACTCATTCAGATCCTCTGTCCTCTCTTTATTGGCTTGTTGGGTTTTTTCTGGGTTTTTTTTTTGTTGTTGTTGTTGTTTGGTTTTGATTTTCTTTTGCAGTAGGGAACATAGGAGCAATAGTCTGGATATTAATCTTTGGTCTATTAAAAAAAAAGTCATTGGGCACGGTGGCTCACGCCTGTAATCCCAGCACTTTGGGAGGCCGAGGCAGGTGGGTCACTAGGTCAGGAGATCGAGACCATCCTGGCTAACACGGTGAAACCCCATCTCTACTAAAAATACAAAAAAATTAGCCAGGCATGTTGGTGGGCACCTATAGTCCCAGCTACTCGGGAGGCGGAGGCAGGAGAATGGCGAACCCGGGAGGTGGAGCTTGCAGTGAGCCGAGATCGCACCACTGCACTCCAGTCTGGGCGACAGAGCGAGACTCCGTCTCAAAAAAAAAAAGAGTCATGAAGTTTTATCCAAGTCTCTCACTTGACTTTTAATAACATGTTTTATTTTATCTTTTGTCATATAAAACTTCTAGTTTTCATATAGTCCATAATATGATTCCAGTTGAATTCATGCATTGCTAGAAATCAACTTCTAGAAATCTGCGTTATATGGAGGAGAAACAGCCTCTTGGATGTGAATGAAAAGAACTTAACAGAGGAAGTTTTAAGTAAAACTTAGCAGGGAAATAATGAATTAATTCAGCTCCCACCTTCCCTTTTCTTCTTTCTAGCTCCTGTATCTTTTGGCATACAGTTTTGGTTTGGTGGAAGGTTTATAAAAATAAGTGTGCTGATGTAGGTGATTTAAAGATTTGTATGGAATAGTTGAAATGAAGTCAAAGGTGGCTGCTAACAGGAGGCAGTTCTCCAGGGCTCTCTCCTGTTTCTGATTCTCTTGCAAGCAGAAGCACTACCTCTGCTCCAACCTTTGCAAGGATGTTTGCATAGAGAACCGCCTTGGAAGACAGAGGTAGTGCTTTCCTCTGGGGCAAAGGGCTGGTTTGGTTCCTGTCCAGTATAATAAAGATAACGTCTTCCCCCAGGCAAAGATTGGCAGTTTTACTTACTGCCCATAATAAAAGATTGGGGTTTCCTAAACTCAGGGCTCCTCTCCTGTAACACACCGTGTATGTGGAATGGACACCTGACCCTGCTTGCCTGCCCTGTGGAAACTGGGGTTTGGGGAATCAGCCCAAGAAAATGATGATACTCAGGCTGCTGCTATTGCTGTAAGTAGTAAACTGTCCTTTATCTCTAAACCAGGAGTCTCGTGTCTTCTGCCAGCATCCTGAAACTGTGGCAGGCTCACTTGTTAACTTTGAAAATAGGGTAAAATCTCAGAACCTTCACAGTTCCTGACAGTCACCACATAATGGAAGGTTAAAACACTTAAACTCAACTCTGGCTCCAGTCAGATTTAACTCTCTGCCTACAATACAAAAGTCACATTCTTCTCTTAAACTGAACAGCCCTTAAATGGTTAGGGAAAAGAGAAACTCGCTGTAAGAAATGTTTATATCTTGTATATAATTCCTGCAAGTCGAATATTTCAAAAGGTGTTCGTGTGGGTGAAGTAGATTTACTCCGTTCATTTCTCTGGAGAAATGAACTTACAGACTGAAAATTTTCAACTCAATAAATAAAGAAAAACAAATTTTAACAATTAGACTTATCCCAAAGAGAATACAGTTTGAGGGCACAAGCTCACTGCTGCCTTAGGTGACCACTAGGTCCCATAGGACCTCTAATGGGTCAGGGATTAGACTAGATGATTACAAAGCTCTCTTCAAATGGAAAATGCTGGGGAGGAGGGTGTTGTTTCAGTGGACCCGCTAATCAGATGTCTTTTCATACCACATAATGAAGCAGGTGAGCTGGTGGATTCAGCTGGAACTCAGAAGGCCACACTTGAGAAGATCATCGTGAGTTGAAGATCTCTTGCTTAGTCTCACAGAAACTCCGTCAAGTCTAGCTCACCTGAGAGTCAGTTAGTGTTGGCGAATCAATTCGTGCCAATGAAATTCACCAAGAGCCTGATTTACAAACTAGAGAGCCATGGCCTTAATTTTAGAGCAAAAAACCAGACTTTTCCAATGACTATAGTTTTCTTGTCCAATAGCTAGGATACCCCCCTCCACCTGCTGTGTACTCATGAAGCAGAAATTTTTTTTTTTTTTTTTTTTTTGAGAGAGTCTCGTTCTGTCACCCAGACTAGAGTACAGTGGCTCGGCCTCGGCTCACTGCAACCTCCGCCGCCTGTACTCAAGTGATTCTCCTGCCTCAGCCTCCCAAGTAGCTGGGATTACAGGCATGTGCCACCATGCCCGGCTAATTTTGTATTTTTAGTAGAGACGGGATGTCTCCATGTTGGCCAGACTGGTCTCGAACTCCCAACCTCAGGTGATCCATCCGCTTTTGCCGCCCAAAGTGCTGGGATTACAGGCGTGAGCCCCAGCGCCCAGCCAAAGAAGCGGAATTTTTAGCCAGATATGTGTGATACACCAGACCGAAATGAAAGGAATCGAATGACCCTGAATTTGCTTCTTCTGATAGGATGCATTAGATAGAGGCTGGTAGAATATCTCTTCCCAGGTGGTGAATAAACAGTTTTTAGTGACCAGCATGTTCATGTTCACTCAACACAATGTCTTTCTCTTTTGACAGGGCTGGAGGTAACTATTCTTAACTGTGTCCTCCC